TGACCATATCGCTACCCATGTCTGTGGTGTGACCATATCGCTACCCATGTCTGTGGTGTGACCATATCGCTACCCATGTCTGTGGTGTGACCATATCGCTACCCATGTCTGTGGTGTGACCATATCGCTACCCATGTCTGTGGTGTGACCATATCGCTACCCATGTCTGTGGTGTGACCATATCGCTACCCATGTCTGTGGTGTGACCATATCGCTACCCATGTCTGTGGTGTGACCATATCGCTACCCATGTCTGTGGTGTGACCATATCGCTACCCATGTCTGTGGTGTGACCATATCGCTACCCATGTCTGTGGTGTGACCATATCGCTACCCATGTCTGTGGTGTGACCATATCGCTACCCATGTCTGTGGTGTGACCATATTGCTACCCATGTCTGTGGTGTGACCATATCGCTACCCATGTCTGTGGTGTGACCATATCGCTACCCATGTCTGTGGTGTGACCATATCGCTACCCATGTCTGTGGTGTGACCATATCGCTACCCATGTCTGTGGTGTGACCATATCGCTACCCATGTCTGTGGTGTGACCATATCGCTACCCATGTCTGTGGTGTGACCATATCGCTACCCATGTCTGTGGTGTGACCATATCGCTACCCATGTCTGTGGTGTGACCATATCGCTACCCATGTCTGTGGTGTGACCATATCGCTACCCATGTCTGTGGTGTGACCATATCGCTACCCATGTCTGTGGTGTGACCATATCGCTACCCATGTCTGTGGTGTGACCATATCGCTACCCATGTCTGTGGTGTGACCATATTGCTAGCCATGTCTGTGGTGTGACCATATTGCTAGCCATGTCTGTGGTGTGACCATATTGTTATAGAGAGCTTGTTTACATAATATTTCTCGTGTGTGCCCTCTGATTGACCCCGCATGAGACGCTGTGTTCACAAAGGGGTGTGGCTTAGGCCTTTGAAGTATTCTTATTTACACCGCCAGCCACTAAAAATAATTAATCTGTTCCAAGTAGTGTTTTGTAGAATAAACGGGATTTTTCTCGAAATGTCATGTAGCTTGTAGTAGGCAGGGCTTAGGCGTCGGTAGATCCACCTATATAAGGGATTGACAGGCACGACGAGACGGAGATTTTTCACATAGATTTTCTTAACATTACGAGGCGTGTTTTATTCTTTGTGTATTTGTGTGCTCCTACTTATATGTGTTTATTTCGCATTATTTATTGGCATCATTATTTCTAATGGTATTAAATGTGTAGCGGTACGAGATCTACCATACTGTAAGTTGAAGATTGTAATTTTATTTTATTTTTGTAATTATCTTAAGAAATAATAAATCTTAATAAATTGTAACTAGAAACTGTTTTGGGTCGTATCTTTAATATTGTTGATTCAATGGTATCGTCCTTTGTTAGGCACTGTTTACATCGAGCCAAATTAAAATAGGAGATTAATTTCTCCCAATACAAGTCAGTGCGTAACAATATCGCTACCCATGTCTGTGGTGTGACCATATTGCTAGCCATGTCTGTGGTGTGACCATATCGCTACCCATGTCTGTGGTGTGACCATATTGCTAGCCATGTCTGTGGTGTTATCAGATCATATTGCTACCCATGTCTGTTGTGTGATCATATCGCTAGCCATGTCTATGATGTGACCATATTGCTACCGCAAGCCATGTCTGTGATATGATCATATTGCTAGCCATGTCTGTGTTGTGACCATATTGCTACCCATTTCTGTGTTGTGATCATATTGCTACCCATTTCTGTGGTGTGACCATATTGCTACCCATTTCTGTGGTGTGATCATATTGCTACCCATTTCTGTGGTGTGACAATATTGCTACCCATTTCTGTGTTGTGATCATATTGCTACCCATTTCTGTGGTGTGACCATATTGCTACCCATTTCTGTGTTGTGACCATATTGCTACCCATTTCTGTGTTGTGATCATGTTGCTACCCATTTCTGTGGTGTGACCATATTGCTACCCATTTCTGTGGTGTGACCATATTGCTACCCATTTCTGTGTTGTGTTCATATTGCTACCCATTTCTGTGTTGTGATCATATTGCTACCCATTTCTGTGTTGTGATCATATTGCTACCCATTTCTGTGTTGTGACCATATTGCTAGCGCTACTATAAGTCTTATAAAATATCTAACTGACAGACTTTAAGTCTTATAAAACATCTAACTAACAGACTTTAGTCTTCTAAAACATCTAACTAACATACTTTAAGGCTTATAAAATATCTAACTGACAGACTTTAAGTCTTATAAAACATCTAACTAACAGACTTTAAGTCTTTTAACATGCACATCTAACTAACAGACTTTAAGTCTTATAACACGGCTAACTGACAGACTTTAAGTCTTATAAAACATCTAACGAACAGACGTTAAGTCTGATAACAATCTTTATTTTAATTCACCAGGTGCCAACCAAGGAGTTCAAATTGCTCAAAATGAACAAGATTTTAAAATAAAATTCAAAAAATAATTTCCTGAACTTGTATGTTCATTCATTTAAAAAAAATAGTTGTGTTATTTATTTCTTGGTTTCTTTTCAATGGTACTGCAGAATTGGGCTTTGTACAATAGAGGTGTTTTTAGTTGAGATCTCCTCGTATTACATTACAGATGTATTTACTAATCAACAAAAAGGAATGCAGGAGATATAGATTTTTAGAGAAAGACCAGTTTATACGATTGTTAAACATAAAAGCTATTACTTAAGCCAGGATAAACCAAAATGGATCACATGATAGTATATTCAATTTAACTTAGACCATGTGTCATTTGGAAATGTGTAATGATAATTTTATCTTGTATTTCTAGATTTAAAAAAAAAATGAAGCCATATTGTCTGATTGAGAATGTTTGCTAGTGAACCTCATCACACTTTATCTCAATTAAAACTTACTAGAACATACGGCCCGCTGTTTCTGGGTTAATAATTATTGGGTTAGAAATGGAAGGTATATTGCGCTACGTCCTTCCTGTTCGTGTGACTCTCAACATCGAAAAATAAAATTTTTAAGTATGTTACTGAAGGAGGTTTTAATTTATTTTATCCTAAATAAAGTTATGACATTTTGTCAGACCTTTGAAATGTATATTTAGGACATTTTTAATCAGACTTTCCTTATTTAAAAAAATAAATAAATATATGTGTATCTATTTTCAGATTCTGTGTCATTGGGTTTTGAGAATTGTTTTCCGCTATATAAATAAACCAAACTATCGTGTTTTTTTTTATGCCTCTGAACTAAGTTCTAAAATTGTAAAAAAAAAAATAAATGAAAATTTCCTTAAATTAAAAAAAAATAATAAATCTAGGTGCCGTTTTACATATCTGTAACATAAAAGCAATTTGATAACTTGAGTAAAAAAAAATTACCAAGCCCTTTTTTTTTTTTCATCGCTCCTAAACTGTATTATCGGAAAATATTGAAACACAGAATTCTTCTATTTAAAGAAACATCTCTGAACCAACGCTTGTAAAAGCCTGATGATTAATTTTTTTGTATTATTTCATGACAATAGATTTTCATATTTTTAGAGACAATTTTAACCCATAGACCTAGTTGTGCGCTCCCCTAAAATTTAATTCGGGAAATGAAAATATTTTGCTCAATATTTAAAGATTAAATATTCACTTTTGCAAAATGATTGGGTTTTGAGATGTTGTTGTCCACGAAAAATGCTCCCATCCTCTTTCTTTCAACCTTAAAATGTAATTTCACGGAAAGTTTAAGAATTATATTTAAAATAAAAATAAATTGTCATACTAATGAATATGTTTCCACCCTGATCCTCGCCCCTGAAATGTATCTTTGAAACAATGGGAAAATTTAGATGTCTTAAAATTCAAGCACAAATCTTATCCACGATTTCCCCCCTTTCCAACTTTATTGAGTTTTGACGTATGGCCCAAAGTGGGTCAAGGCCAATAATAAGGGGGCGAACATTAATTACGTCAAAAAATAGGTGAGAGGGGGTAAGTTGAAGTTAACAATCATGTTTTCTCTATTAAAGTTTTAATCTTAAAAATTGACTGGTTATTACATTATTTAAAAAAAAAAAAAAACTTTTAAGTATAAATGAGTGTAAGTAGTCATATAATTTTTAGGCTTTTAACAATATATGATTTATTTAATGTGTGACAATCTGTGCACTGCAGATGGCTGGTTAGAATGGTAGCACACTTTGTTAGTTCAAGAGAAGTCAAATGTTAAATGATAATAATAGACTAGGAATACGCTATTTTAAGAATGAGGTGAATGTAAAGTGAGTAACAATAATAGCACAATCTGCAACATCTATTTCGCATGAAAAAGCATGTCCAACAGCACCGACAATACCCTCTTGGGCCTAAGAAATTAGCACCTGCTCCTCAACAAAACAGCGAGTAGCTGCCAGGAGAGAGAGCTTATGGCAATTATTGCTCACAATGACAATGTTTCTATTTTAAGTGCTGAATGGTTAGATGAGGATGATGCTGACTTGTCTGGTATATCAGTGCCGCAAGATGAAAATGATAAATCTGCTATTATCTGCCAGTGGTCGGCAAACTCTTTGGTCAAAAGGGCCAAAAATCAGCAGCAGGAAGATAAAAAACAAAAAATGAGAGGCAAATTTTCTTTCAAGAACGATGCCCTTTTTCAGAGTCAAAACCGACTTGTAGCCGACTGGCCGAGCCGCACTCAACTCGTTAAAGTGAAGAGCCGCATCTCGTGAGCCGCAATTTGCCGACCACTGAGCTAGGCTTAAAAACGAATATATTTAAATACAATCAGAATCTTAACTCTTTCCGTGATAATCCCCAATTATATATGTAATAAATATTCATGAGTGGTCGCATTTGTGCGGAATTAATTGTGCCAATCGACGATATACAGTCAACTTAATTTCTGAGTTTATTTCGTTTCCTACGTCTATCATGAATCAATTCTACTTTTTATGTTCTCAAATGAATGATAACTCTTTCGTCTGCCTACTTCCCTTCTGTTAGAAGAAGTAGGGTTTATTTACATTTTGCTTTTCCAATAATGGCGACCTTTTTTTTATCGATTTGTGTTGCAAATGGTGTAAATAAAACAATTGCCATACCTACTCCAGGACTCCACGCACATCAGCTGTCGCTAGACCACTTAGATAGTCTAGTTTGCAAACAAAAGAGCTTTTATTGCGAATTATTGATGCTGAAGTATCGCCGAAAATATTCATAATACTAGAACTATCCATGGCCATGGCCATGGCCATGGGCCAAATGATTACCGGTATGAGTGGTATGAATCATTTGAATCCGATTCCAGTGATGATTTTCAGCTTTCTGATGATGGGTTGGTAAATGCCAAATGAAAATAGAAAAGGTATTTTAAGTAATAGTAGACTCTTTGTTAAGGTCCAGGAAATGCTGAAAACCTTTGAATTTGATACTGATAGTATAATAGTAATATACTATAATTTCTTATGAATTTAATTTTATGACATGACATTTTTCCTCAATAGAATTATTGGTAAATGCAAAGAAGATATCCATGTTTTTTCCCATTGCCACCATCATGGCTGGGTCTTGTCAACCAAGATGGCTGCCAAGAAAAGAAAAAAGTAGTGCAAAACATGTGAATGTGTGATACAAAAAGGAAGAGGATGGTAGAGAATTGAATGTTATTTTAACAACTTGCCGAAAGATCGGAGAAAAATAGAAAAATAAGCGAATTTACATGCAAAAAAATTTTAAAGAAAAAAATGAAATTAATAGTCTTTTTTAAAAATTTTGTACCAAAAAAAAAGGAAATTTTGGCTGATATTAACTCTTTTCATTCCTCTTATATAGAGAGAGTACAACTATATATGTTGGTTATTTTCGCTAATAAAATATTGTCTTTTTTATTTTTAAGTGTTCTATACCTATTTTATCATACATTTGGAAGAAAAATATAATAAAAAATAATGTTTAAAGATTTTAAATAATAATTGATTTTTTTGGCGAGTTCGAGGTTCACGTGACATGCCGAAGCGTTACTCGCCATTTTGGGAAAATTTGTGCAAGATGCTAGTTGACTCGGCAGCCCAAAATTTTAAATAATGAATACTACTGACGAAAATTTTGATCATATTTTATCTGAAACATCTGGGGAAGATAGTTGGGAACCTGAATCTAGTGACTTTGATTCAGATTTTGATGAGAATCTGCCTTTATAGCCCATTATAGTCACTAAAACTAGAAGGTTAGTAAATCGAGTGTTTCGTCATTCTATATTTTTTTATAGATTTTTTACTTTTAAATTTATTTTATCGGTTTAAATTGTATTTTTAATCATAATTGAAGTATTTTCTACCCATTTTAAAATGAATCTACGCAAATAAAATCATTGTATAATTTGCGAATATTTTATTACAAAAATAATTTTATAAGACGTTATGCTTAGAAACTGTTGCTAAGGAATGTAAACAATGCAGTCGGCACTGTTTATTATGATATATTTTATTCTAAAGACCATGAAATTTGACATCCATGTGTGTTATAAAAAATTAATTATCTGACACTATTTTTTTTGTTGTCATAACGGTTTTTAGACAGTATTTGAAATATTAAAAACTTGAAATTTAAGTAAGTATATATTTTATATTCATTGGATCCCTAATAGTTGCATATAGATCTATAATATTAGTTATTCTTTTACATTCACAGGCTAGGCTTGTATGAGGTTGGAGATAATGACCCACTGGTTCCCACTCCTAAGTTTCCCCCAGCCAGAAACCCAGGCTGACTTGTGTGGGAAGAAATGTCATCATAACATGGATACAATCTGCATCCTAAAGTCTAAGGATTTTCAAGATATGTTTCACAATGAATTTGGTTGAAACATTTGTCAAATACACCTATTCAACTACCATGGGACCTTCTAAACTTTCCATCAACTGTGGTTTGTTGATAACTCAACAACATACCACTTTTACTCATTTCTAGGACTACTAATGTGCATGTCAACTGTACGAGTCCTCGGTGTACAAAAATACTCGTCAACCGCAACAATGTTTCACTACTACCATGAATTGTGGGCTCATGCCCTATTGCCAAAAACAGATTTATTCAAATAAGACATTCTTCAAAGTTTATAATATTGAAACAGACAATGAGGACAAACTGTGCAAAGTGAACTTGTCAGACTTTATTATCAGAAGTAAATAAAGATAAAAATCAAAGCAATGTGAATGTGATATGATGTGATGGATAAGAGATAATATAATTTATACTATGTTCAGTGGAGAGAAAATTAGACAAGCCTCACTTATTTCAAATAATATGACAGCAAGTGGATTTTCTTTTGTGAACAAAACCAAAACTGATTTGTGTCTTTCTAGGCAATTATTGGGGAGAAAAACCAGATATTGTCAAATCAGATTTTGAAATCATACAATTCATTCCTGTGACCTGTGTGGTGTTGACCAGTTGATAAATAAATATATCATTCTAAGTAAAGAGAACAGCACTGGACCAATCCATTTTTCCATTTTGTTGATAATGCCAGCTATAATCTCTTCAGGATTGTTCAAAAGAAAACTATGATATAGATGAACTGAAGCTACCTGACATTTTATTCTCAATTGACTTCACAGAGGAAATTATTTTAGCATTTGATTATTTACTAAAAGGGATGCAGTTCCAAGTGCTGCAAATGTAAATAACACCAAATACAATCTAAATGCCATAATTCCTGATTGCATAGATTTTAAAAGCAATTGTCAGTGTGCTAGTGCTATAAATTAGGAAAGCTAAGAAAATAAAATTATAAATCAAATATAGCGTTTAGTAAATTTATCTTTGTTAAAATAACAAGAATTTTTCTGACTAACAGTACCATGAAGTTTAAAACCTCTATTATTTTTTAAAACCTTGAAGTAATTTTTAAAAGGTAAAATAATAATAACCTGTAATTTTTGTGATTACTTGGTGGGGGGCGGTGATTTTTATTTTTTTAAAATTATTTCCCCTTTTTCACACATTTTACAAAATAATTAATATTTTGGTCAAATTCTCATGATATGTTCTAAATCATGCATATGATATAAGAAAATGAATTTTCTTTCTAAATAAACAGATTTTATTAAATAATTTTATGTGGTTTGTTTTTTTCCTTCTTTGCATGTGATCACCAATTTTTTAAAACACATTTTCATAAAAAAAAAATTGCATAATTTTTTTCACAACTTCTAAGTATTGACACTATGTGTTTGAAAACAAATATTTTTAGAAACCTCATGCATTTTCCCACAATAATATATATAACATCATGAACTTTTGACAATGATTCTAAAAGTTATTGACTCTTTTTTAAGGTCACTAGAAATCTCATAAAAAACTTGCAAAATTCAAGGAATGTTAAGAGTTAAGGAGGGATGACACGGCGTCTTTTGTGTGTTTATTATAGACAATTATAGTTGCAGTGAATTAAGGTTTAGGTTAGGTTGAAGGATCGATTTAGGGTTAGGGTTAGGCATAGGGATCGATTTAGGGTTCAGGTTAGGCATATAGGGATCGATTTAGGGGTACATTATAGAAATTCGATAAAAATGTGGCATTCGTCCTTAAAATTTACCGAAATTACAAATTTTTGTTGTTGTAAAAAGTGAAAATTCAACAATTCAGCAGATACATTATTTTACCGATGGATGTCCGCTATCCCTAAACCTAATCTAAACCCGAAATCTATCCCTAAACTGAACCCTAATTCTGTCACTAAACTTAACCTGAACCCTAAAACTAGCCCTAAAGCCTCAAGTGAAAAGCTAAAAAATAATTATTAATTGTATTATAAATAAATAAGGAAAACTCAACTTACAGTTACATAGAATACACTTTTACACACAATAAAATACACCTTTAAACATTCTTTTTCTCTCTTTATGCCTTTCTACCCGGCTGGGGCATAGGCCGTCTACAAGAACTTTTCACTCATCACGGTCCTGTGCTTTCCTTTCCAATTGCTTCCAGGTGTATCCCATATTTTGCGTATCTGCCTCTAGCTCGTGTCTCCAAGTATTCTTAGGCCTTCCTCTCTTTCTTTTTCTCTGTGGGTTCCATGTTAGGCATTGTCTGGTGGTGCTATCTGGGGGTTTTTGGAGCGTAACCCCTATCCACCTCCATCTTTTCTTTATGATATCTTCATTAATGGGACCTGGTGTGTCCTTTCTAGTAGATCTCTGTTGGTGATTGTATCTGGCCATTTGATTTTCAGGATCTTTCTAAGGCATGTGTTTATGAATGTACTTACCTCAAGCAAATGACTTGAACTTATTTTGATTTCTATCAACTGCCAAAGTATTTCTAACAATACTAATTTGTAAAACCACATAACTAACTTAAAATAAATGACATGCTAATTTTTGTGTGATATTGATATGGATATGGGAATAGATAGCATATATAGAGAATGGTAAAATAAAAAGTGTAATCATCAATTTTAACTATTTTATGAATTAAATAAGCCCTGTTTATACTTATAATAAATGTTAAACTGTTACACAGAAAATTTGAAATAAATATCTAAAAAATATTATTAATAATATTATTATTGGGAAATTAAAAAATAATATTTATATAGTTAAACAAAATTAATCAATTAAAATATACAAATAATTGTAGAGTCAGCATATTTAATACATTTTGTTTAGAGAAATTATCAAGATTAAAATTTTTTTTTCGGAATATTAACAAAAACTCAACTTATATTTTTACTTTATTTAGAAGAACTCATATTTAACTATGTTCCCTGTAGATATTATATTATATTTATGTCCCATTTTATAATAAAGTTATAAGCGTAAAAAAGCAAAATAATGGTCACAAAATGTGGAGGAACACCACATAATGATAACAGTGGTTTTAGATCCTTACTTAAAAATTCATAACTTTGGAACCACTTGAGCTAGAAAGTTGAATTTTGTTTTTTTTGTAAACTATTCTCTAGGCTGATACCAGCTACACAGACCATATAGTAGTCTGATAAGTTCAGATTTGGTGCACATTAATAAAAAAATTTGATCCAATAATATTACCATTAAAATTTTAACTATTATTGTCTTATTGACATTGTGTTATATTTTACATATTATTATTATCTGCCTAATTTACTTTAAGTTTTTCCTGCTATCTTGCTGAAGAATGGGCAGTCAAATTTCATTACTTGATAAAACCACCCTAAAATATTTCCTTGGGCAAAGCTGATCTGGCACAAACATGGAAAACCCCTGGCATAAACAATGATAGGGATCATATCCGGAAATTTGATCAAAAGAAATTTCGTTGACGGTAAAATGGTCGACGGTAATATGATGAAACGGAAATTTGGTCGAATCTTATTTTCTATTTTTACGTTACAATTTTGCATCAAATTTCGTTTTGGACGAATTGTTTTGTTTTACTAAATAGTATAATGCGTTCAAAAAGAAATTTAACGAAAATTTTAATGTGCGAACGGAAAAAAAAGATTCAACCAAATTTCCGTTCAATCAAATTACCGTCGATCAATTTACCGTCGACGAAATTTCTCTCGATCAAATTTCCGGTAACCCTTGATAAAACCACCCTAAAATATTTCCTTGGCCAAAGCTGATCTGGCACAAACATGGAAAACCCCCTGGCATTAACAATGATAGGGATAATCAATTATTTTACGGAAAATGAATAAATTAAAGTGTGATAAAAATAATTTGTATATGCGTATATTTAAGTATACGTTTAAGTATTATTATTATAAATTAGAAATACATTTAATATAACCAAAAAAAAAGAACTTTTTACTATTATGACTTTTTAAATCTGATTTTAAGAGTTCATGAATAGGTTTTATATCAGTAAAAATAATCATCAAGCATTACTGCTTAATCACATTTATCGGGAAAACCCCCAAAAATATGTAGTTGTTGTTTTTAAGTGCTTAGTTAATATTGGGAAATTAAATTTAAATTTCTTTTATGGAAATGTCTTCAAATAATATCAAATTAAAATGTCAACTGAACTCAAATAAAGAAAGATTATAAAAACTTAATTTAATTTGAACTCACAAATAGCTTACCTAAACTTTAAGTGTTGTCGATTTAATGACGGTAAGTGATAAATCTGATAATGGTTTTCCCCTTCTCAAAAAAATAAAATTAATAAATAGAATTGATTGATTTTTACATTGTTAATACACCACACCAAATTTTAATTTGGATTTTTAACATTTAATAATTTTTAGTTATATTTCATTCCAAAAATGTACTGCTATCAAATTTATGTCATAATCATACACATTTGAAGTTTAAAAATATTTTTTAATAAGAAAATGCTCTTTTTTTAAAGCCATGAATTACAAGGAAAACTCTTAATCTTAATACCACTCACTAATTCACTAATCACTGATCCAAATGAGAACAACCCATTTGAAGTAGCAATTGGTTCATTTTGATATCAATACTTCCAAACCCAATTATGTTACAGATTCGAACTTTTGTCTAGATTTTAATGTTAAAATAAATACCCAGCAAGCATAATCTTTTAATATACGGAGATATAGTTAAACTATTTTTTTTTAGAACATGCAAAACAATGTGTAATAGAATGGTGCTTGGGCTTTAGAATTTTAAAGGGGCGTGCAGAAAATGTGTGGTTGTGTATGTGGGGGGGTGGGGGGCTACCATCAAGTGGATCATTTTATTAATGCTTATTAAGAACTGGGAGGATGAGGATTCGATCGTTTTATGCGGAAAAGGAGACGCCTAAAGGGAGAGAGTACTTTTAATAAATCATTCATCTTCTTCGGTAAACAAATATCAGGGGCAAGGAATAGAGTTTGTAAATTTTTTGTGAATGACAAAATCTTTAAATCCAAAGATATTACACTTGTGACAAATATGTGTTTAATTTTCTTTAAAAAAATAAATATATATGTTACACGAATTAAAAAAGTAAAATATAATTCAAGGGTGTTGACAAACATTGGGTAATAGTAATAGTAATACATTTAAATAAGTATACACATAGACCTAAAAAAAAAATCTCCTAACGCCATCATTTTACACATGTGAAAATTCAATCTTGAAAGCCATATTATTATATTTCCCTTTAACGTTCACCCTATAGTTGGTAATAAAGTGGTGATGGTTAACTAAGTCTATACTGTCAACGCCACATGAAGACAGGATCAAAGAAATTAAAATGAATACCGGTAATCGATTTACTTCATGTAACTAGTCACTGACACTTTGTTTCAATAAAACTGAATATACATAAAAGAATTAAAAACTTCACTAATAATACATATTTCCATATATATTTGCTTCTGTATTGATTCATTATCTTTACTATTGTCCTTACGCTATTACACAATTTTTTGTATCACAGAAACATAACATGACCTCTTCCAACATGGCTGCCTAAACTTCTCTGTTACATCTACATCTTAGTGTTTTCCCTGATTCTACATGACATCAAATTAGCACACACAAAGTTATACTGTTGCAGGGGTTTCTTTTCAAATATGAAAATATCTTTTTGTCTCCATTTTGCCAAAAGTTGAGTCAATGGAAATGTTAGGGTAAATTTCTATAAGATTAATATTTCTTTACAAAAAAAAACCCAAACTTTCTCCGGGCACTTGTGAAAATGAGGTAAGAGGAGATGAGGGTGAAAAATCTAAAAATTGTTGTTTTCAAATGATAATTTTTTTTTACCTACATCTTCTTTGTAAACCATTCTCTACGCTGATACCAGCTACACAGACCATACAGTAGTCTTTGGTTGCCTTTGTAACCCATAAAATCCTCCACCATTTCTTTATTTGTTAGTGTTTTTCAAAACACGAAGACTTTTACAAGTAATAAGTTATTGCCATTAGATATTGAAGCCAGATAATTTACATATAATAAACCTCTGTATAACAGGCATTTTTTTATGTAACAACTAGTTATAAATCAACAGTGTCACAAATAGGGACTCCATTTAAAAAAAAGAAAATAGGGGTGTATGGGAATGTTTGTTAACCTATTTTCTTATCTAAGATAGTTTTCTTAATTCTAAGTTATTAAAATTTTTATATTTTGTCACTGAACATACTGTGAAAATTTACATAGTTTTCTTAATTCTATGTTACTCATATGTTTATTATTGGTCACTGAGCACACTGAAAATTTGGTGAGGTTTGGATAATAAGTAAGTAAAAAACTTATAGAGATTTTGGTGACCAAAAATATTGAAAGAAAAATCTGACATAAAGATAATGACCAAAACAAAATATCAGTGGAAAATAAGATATTTATATTCAGATTGGGCTGACAACTTTTTATAAGCCTATTTTGGACATTTTTATCCCTTTCCTGATCCTTTTTTCTGGACACTCAACTGTTTGCAGTGATTGATGTTTTTTACCTTTTAAAATTGTGCAAAAACCATAATTAATCTGTGTGAAAATGCAATTCCATAGAGCTATTTGGTATTGTCAGCGTATGCTGAAAATGCAACTCTTGGTATGGTAAACAATTGTAAGCTCAGCAAGTTCTAATGATGGGATGAATATTGACTGTTGTAACTTTTCTGATTTCTATTTCACAACTTTTAAATCACTTGAGCCGCAACATGCATTTTTTCCATCAGCATATTAACAGTTGTTTTTTTTTTTTTTGAGCCAGAAAACTCATGAGCGATCACTCCATTGTAAAATCTTATTAGTTACTTTATCAAATATTAACATTAATCCTGTTGCAAATCACATTGCATAGAGACACAATGTTTAAACAAGGAAATTATTGATAAGTTCCTTACATTTGTGTCTTATTTTTTTTGTCGTTGAATAACATATAATAAGTCTTGTGATGTAATCTGTGTTAGTCTTCTCTTGCCGTCTCTACCTTAGGTTACTTTTATTTTGATGCATTGAACATATGATGCGGCGAGAAGTCTGTAACATTTGAAAGACGTAATTAGGGTACTCCTTCTTTTTCATGTACCAATTGTCATTTGGGCTAAATGGACTAAGGCGCAACAGATCAGTGTAGTTTATCAATAGGAAATATAATGCATACTGTGTTCTGTTGTATTTTGTTGTGTTCTGTTGTGTTCTGCTGTGTTCTGCTGTGTTCTTATTGCGCATCCCCTCAATCATTCCTGAAAACAGTAAACTTGTAGTTAGATCTTTTTATTAAATTTTTGTCAACAATAAACTATAAGACTGTAAGGCTATTAGGACATTATCATTAATGAATGATAGGTCTAACTCATAAATGGTTTGTTAGGGCTTTAATTTTACTTTAGAAAGTCACCAGTGACTAAATGACAATGTGTGCACATTTTTTAAAAATATTACCATTTTAAATTAATAGCTATAAATATGGAACAATTAAATCAAATATTATCACAATTATCCCAATTACTATTTTGTCTATTTCTATTAACTATTACTATAGATGCTATTAGGTTTTATGTGACACTAACACTAAAGTCACCACTTTCCAATTTTGAAATCCTCGAGGTTGGTTGTAGTTTTAAATGCCACTGATGATAAGAAATCTTCTTAAATTAAAGTTAATGTATTAAAAAGTAAGAAATTTACCACATTTAATTGACAAGTAGCGATGGGACTGTCCCATTTTTCTGAAATGTTTCTTCACATTTTTTAAACAAAAAGTCAAATAACTTGATAGCAGAGATAAAACTTGGCAGCCCTGTTCAACATTTGTCTGGTCAACATTTTTCTAGCTTTGTTCAAAGTCATGATCGCAGTGGACCAAACAAAACCATGTCTTCTGGGTAACAGATCCCTTGGGGCAACACAAAATGAAATCATTGAAATTATAATAAAAATGTTCCACCCAACATTTCTATTTAACTGGGTCGAATTACCTGAGAAATCAAATAAAAAAGATTGAGGCGCATTCAAGTTGCCATTCTGGGATGGATTGGATTAGCAAGCAAGAAATCTTTATTAACAAATATTTTCATAGTTTATTTTAGTTAAATTTTTCTAAAGCTAAAAAATTCCCAATCACGCCTATAAAACTTTCACAATACATATTTGTAATGCATTTTAATTTAATATTTATTATATAAGTTAAATCATAATCATATACAAGTTTTTTAGACAATAATAATGCACATTAAGTAAAATGTTGGTAAAAAAGTTTTTTTCATAAAATATTTTATTTACCTTTTTTAAAAAATAATCTGTTTACACAAGCCTCCAGAGTCCTTCCTCAGCATAGATCTTAAAATAGCCAGTTTTATTTCAACACGTCAGACTGTTGGCATCTCTCACGTCAGACTGTTGGCATCTCTCATGTCAGACTGTTGGCATCGCTCACGTCAGACTGTTGGCATCTCTCATGTCAGACTGTTGGCATCTTTCACGTCTGACAGTTGGCATCTCTCACGTCTGACAGTTGGCATCTCTCATGTCAGACTGTTGGCATCTCTCATGTCAGACTGTTAGCATCTCTCACGTCAGACTGTTGGCATCTCTCACGTCAGACTGTTGGCATCTCTCACGTCAGACTGCTGGCATCTCTCACGTCAGACTGTTGGCATCTGTCACGTCAGACTGTTGGCACTGTTGGCATCTCTCACGTCAGACTGTTGGCATCTCTCACGTCAGACTGTTGGCATCTCTCACGTCAGACTGTTGGCATCTCTCACGTCAGACTGTTGGCATCTCTCACGTCAGACTGTTGGCATCTCTCACGTCAGACTGTTGGCATCTGTCACGTCAGACTGTTGGCATCTCTCACGTCAGACTGTTGGCATCTCTCACGTCAGACTGTTGGCATCTCTCACGTCAGACTGTTGGCATCTCTCATGTCCGACTGTTGGCATCTCTCACGTCAGACTGTTGGCATCTCTCACGTCAGACTGTTGACATCTCTCACAAAAACTGTTAATGACTTTATCTCTAGTTTTAAGATTTCACTAAATATTTCATGATGTCAGTCTACAGCCCTCATCGTCGCTGGTTTATCTTGCAGGTTAGACACAAGACTAAACTCTCACTGGAGAGATTAAAGATGGAGAAGGTGGAGAGCAGCTCCCTTGTGTTGGAGATGGAGAATGAACAGCAACGACAGCGGTACGAGAAATGCCTTGATGAGATAGCCAATCATGTGGTTCAGGCCTTGTTGGCTAGAAGGTAGCTATCTTAAAAATCCTTGTTTCTGTACCTCATATGTAGCTCTACTTGTCAGTTTAATATATTTAAATTTAATAAAATATATGATCTATTTATTGCTTTTTTTAATATCACTATATTATTTTTTATTAAACATGCAATTTCAATTTTTTAAAACAAATATAAAATTTAATAAATACCCTAATTTTAGTTGTTTGTTTCTAAAATATATGAAATACAGACCTGTTTACTCTTAGGATTAGTTCATCTTATATTTTTAACATATTTTTTTTTTATGTGTTATTTATATTTTATGCTGTTTTTTAAACCTTTGTTACTTTTAAATAGTTTTCTAGATTCAACTATAGAATGGACGTTAGGCTACCCAAATTGGATCAACCAGCATCAACCATTGTTATCAAAAGATAAAACAATTCACCAGCTGCGGTTAGCTCCATTTTTTTAATATTTTGAATAACAATAAGGGTTTAAAGTGAATACAAGTGAAAATAAATTATTGACACTTAAAAAACAAAATTCTTGTGTAAAAATAAAATATGAAAAGTACAAAATTAATGCTCTATCCAAAAATTGTCCTTATAGGTTTCAATATAACATTCTTAACCCTATAACTTTTGCTTTTTATAGAATTCCATTATAGTAAAACAAATAATTGAAATTAAGCTATAAACTGGTTAAACACATGTTATTGTAATTGCATACTCTGATCTAAAATGTAAATATTTGTTTTTAAACCTGCAGAATGTCTAAATCAGATGGACAAAGTACATGATTATTGGAGGGACTCACTGGAATCTGAGGGACTGAGTACATGATTATTGGAGGAACTCATTGGATTCTGAGGGACTAATTACATCTTTGCGTCAAGATTAGGAGCTCATTGAAACCAAATAATTGCATAAATTACATTTAACAGTGCTATATATATATATATATTTAAGCATGATTATTACATAAAATTCAGTGGTTCTCAACAAGTGGGTCAGGATACCCTAGGGGTCATGTAACAAAATACCAGAAATTTGAGTGGTTTTTAAAAAATGTTAACCATTCATTTGAAATGGAAAAATGAATGTGGGCTGCAACAGTATTGTAAATCCTATCCAAGGATTGCTGTGATAAAAAGGAAGAGAACTGCCGCACTAATTATTAATGTACACACTAATTATTAATGTATGGTATCAAATTGTCTGGCATTTAAAAAAAAATTGTAATCCACATTGCATATCACATCATTTTTCATAACTGCATAGCAAGTGTATAGTCTATGCAATCTATCCCCTCTTCCAGTCTAATAAGATGGCTGTTAATGACTTGAATAACTGGTCAAGGAATGCTACTTTTGTAGATTGATTGCCTCTTAGGAAGCTTTATAGAGGGTCTGGTTTCTTTCCCACAGCTACCTCTCATTTATATTGTACCAACTCTTTTGGGTTTTCCATAGTTTTGTGTTCCATGTTCTGTCCATCTTAGCGCTGTCCTCGGAAGTGAGCGTGGTGGTATTCTACAAACATACCCAAGGGATCTCCGTTAATGATCTGCTTTTAATTCATGCAATTTTGACCACAGTGGCTGCTACTCTTGATTGGCATTTCAATTCTTCAATACATTAATCTTTGGTCAGAAGATTCTGTGGAACCTTAGCAGGCAACTATAAATATTAAATTAAATCCAATCTTACCTAACAAACATTCCAAAAGTCAGATTAAAAATAAATTCAAAATATTCATGAATTGTCAGCAGTGGGTAGGTGTGTGGGTGGACTACTGCACTGTGATTATATTATGTTGTGCGTTTTATGTGTAATTTTTTAATGATTTTAAATGTGCAGAAAAAAAATGAATACAATGCAAATCTCCCCTCCCCTTTCCTTTTCTCTTTAATGTTTTCTATTCAATACATTCTTATGTATGTATACATTTCTAAGTTGAATGAAATTTTTAAAAAATGTATACTTTGACATTTTAAAAAAAAATCACTTTCTATTGGACAAATTATGTCAGATACATATAACAATTAAAACTGCATGTATGTGTATGTACCAAGTTACTATGTTTGATTGCATGTGATTTATTCCATTTTGCATGATATGTGATTTATTCCATTTAACATATCTGATTTATTCCATTTAACATATCTGATTTATTCCATTTAACATGCTATGTGAATTTTTTTTCCATGTAACATGTTATGCGATTAGTTATGTGATTTATTCCATGTAGGTGTGTAAAGTAACAAGGTGTAACTATACACATTTTTTTGTTTGTTTCTTTATATTGATTGTGGCCAGAGATGGAAAAGCAAACTGATATATCCATCAATGCTATTCTGACTTGCATATATTCTGTGTTTATTTTGTTCCCTGCTTGGTCACACTCCATTTTCTTTGTTGTGTTCACTTTCTCATCTCATCTTGGCTTATTTTATTGTATATGTTTGAATTTTTCCTTAGTACACTCTCATCACTATGTAAGGGAAATAATGGGGTTATTGTTTTATTTTTTTAATGGGGTTTCGAAAATAATAAACCTTATTTTAAAAACTAAAAATGTGTTTTGTTATGAGGGTACGTGTCGTGTTTTTGGGGGTGGGTTGTCTCCCTTGGTTCAGAAATTTGAGTTGGAGTATATTATTTTTTTGATGATTTTTCCCTTTTATGGTTTCACTGCTCTATCAGGATGTCTTTCCTTGCTACCGGGGGTCTTCTTTCCCCCATGTCGCATTTGTGCATTTTATTTAGGTATGATGGGATTCGGGCCTGCTATTTTTTGAATCTTGATTTGCCCTTGTTTTTCCATCCACCCCGACCACCATCCTCGCAAATTTTTAAGTTATATTAAAAAGGTGGACAATTGTGATAGGTGTTTATAAATTTGCATATACCAAATTGAATTTCTAATATAAAATATACTAAAGCATACTTATGTCATATCCTATGTATTTACAATTTTAAACATGTGCCTGGTCATTAAAATATATTTAGAATATGTTAATTGCATATGCCTCTTTCATATAAATGCATATAAACTTAATTAATTATACTGTTGTGTTATCTTTCTTTTTCCACTCCTTTTTTATTTCCCCTGCTTTTCATCATCAAAAAGATGCAATGCTGTGATATCCAAAAAATTTATTAATTTAAAAAGAAAACGTTTCATAACATGAACTTTGGTCTTGTTCAGCACAACTAATACAAACTAAGTCCAAGTATTAAGGTTCAAACGTACATATACAGGGATTTTGTAAATTAGTTGTACAATTTAGTGGTCGGAAAGGTCCATCATTTCATTTCAAAATTCTCGAAAATGACAGCAGGACCTTTTTCAAATCTTACGGAAAAGGGAGGCTGTCCATGTGTTTTTTGTTGTAAATCTCAAGATTGTATGCTACGGTCAAAGGGAGGCTATCGTGTATTTCTTTTTTTAATCTTAAGATTGGAAAAGTTATTTCCCATATTATCGTTTTTTTTAGAGTTAAGATTTTTTGTGCCAGGTTATTTCCCTTTGATCGTAAAATAATTTACTTCAAATATTCTTTTATCTCGGTGATCTCTCTTTGACCACACCTTTTAGAAATAATCATAAATAAGAATTTATAGATTTTAATGAACCCCTATTGACATCAATTGTAAAGGGCGCAAATTTACAAATTTTTTAAAATTTAATTAAGCCCTTTCAATCGTTACAATTAATTGCAAATTAATTATTTTAATTAATTATTTTAGTTTTTATTTTACTACCAGATATTTGGTATTTAATAAATTAATAGTTTAAACTTTATATAACAGTAAAAATTGGAATCATTATCTTATTTTAAAGATCTTCGTGTATATAATTTCATTAAAACACTTGTACAAAAAGTGGTTTGATATATTTTCTCATTTGTTCAGTGACAGCTAGTTACTCAACTGTAATATTCCAACAGTGAGTTAATATTTTTATTAAGTTTTATTTCCTTAATCCTGGGAATCACACACTCCTTACTGCATTAGAAAACTTTTCATGAATGAATTAATGCACAAGGTCACCAAAAACATATGTTTATCAAGTGGATGTCTTACAATAAAAATTTACTACCACTGACTTTAAACTTTTTAAGATTTGGTAGAGAACCATTGCTCAGTATTTTTTCCAGGGTTGGATATGATCTTAGCATGTATCTAGATATAATTATGAATATTTTATTTATATTTATGTATAAATAGCTTAAAAGCTTGTGAATAGTTAACCTTTTAATTTAGTCTTAAACACACTGCTTTGATTGATTAATAAATGCAGTTAAAAGTTATTGAATGCACACAACCCTTAATGTAAAAAATAAAATAATTAAAATTCGTACCAAATAAAACAGTTAAAAAAATGAATGAAAAAAGTCCCAGTCTCATTTTTCCTTTAGACTGACAACATCCAACATATCACAATTGAGAACAAAGTAAATGATAACAAGCAAAAGAAATTGATTAGTAATCTAATTATTTTATTATTTCATTCATGTCAATCTTTCAAGAGAAATTTGAAAACATTTGTGTATGCCAATTATTCTATATCCCAATAACAACTGATAAAATAATGATAAAAACTCTCTTTCATCCATAAATCAAAACCAGCATTAGCTACCTATAAACCTTTGTTAATTTAGGTAAATTATAAATAAATTTTCTTTCATATAATTGGGACACACGATAAACATATTGATCATTCTGGCTCCTATGTGTGTAGAGGGGAGTTGTAAGGATTCTGTGCCTGGTATTGAAGAGTATATTTCTCTGGTTGCAAGGGCTATTCAGCGAGGATATCATGAACTGGGGGTAGGGAGGCCTGAGGCAATAGACGCAAATGTGACAAGTTTCACATTTTAAAATGTTTACTGACTATCCTAACGTGAGAAGAGCATTTTTTAATTCAAAATCACTTTTGCTGAAATACAGAAATTTTATGAAGATAAGGCATATTTTAAATTGAATATGCCAATTTAAGTATATTTAGATAATAAACAATGTATTATATTTTGCTATTTTGTAACTGTTTATGTCTTAAAATTTATAGGAGGAATATCTTGCATTTTCTATGTACACATTCATTATAAAATGGATTTGATTTTTCAAAAATAATATTATTATATAAAAATGACTGCCAAATCAGGAGTTATTGAACCAGTTAAGTAAAATAAGAAATTTGAGTTATTGAATAAATTCTGTAATATATTATCAGGCTGTTTACTTGAGATTTGTGCTCATAAAATATCAAGATGCAAGAAGAGAAAATATTACAAGCAGCACAGCAGCGTCTTGAGTTAAATTGGCACCATATCAGAGTTTTTTCAGATTGTCTCAAACCTAGAATAAAAAGGATAAACCAGACATTAAGATACAGTCATGACATGGTTTATAATAAATATGTATTAAAATATTTACGTTTCTATCATGCAGGAATCAATGTTTAGATTTTAAATATTGGTTCTTTTAGTTTATTTTACATAGATTAAATTAAAAAAATTTCTTAAAAACAGTATAAACTTAGAACTAAAAATTGAAGCTAACATAAGATGGTGAGGAGTCAGTTATCGATTGGTTGTTGATAGATTATTCCCTGGATCAAACAGTGGTTACTGATGTGTCGTCCATTAGATTTAAAGCAGTGGTTGGTGATGGGTCATCCATTAGATTTAAAGCAGTGGTTGGTGATGGGTCATCCATTAGATTTAAAGCAGTGGTTGGTGATGGGTCATCCATTAGATTTAAAGCAGTGGTTGGTGGTGGGTCATCCATTAGATTTAAAGCAGTGGTTGGTGATGGGTCATCCATTAGATTTAAAGCAGTGGTTGGTGATGGGTCATCCATTAGATTTAAAGCAGTGGTTGGTGATGGGTCATCCATTAGATTTAAAGCAGTGGTTGGTGATGGGTCATCCATTAGATTTAAAGCAGTGGTTGGTGATGGGTCATCCATTAGATTTAAAGCAGTGGTTGGTGATGGGTCATCCATTAGATTTAAAGCAGTGGTTGGTGATGGGTCATCCATTAGATTTAAAGCAGTGGTTGGTGATGGGTCATCCATTAGATTTAAAGCAGTGGTTGGTGATGGGTCATCCATTAGATTTAAAGCAGTGGTTGGTGATGGGTCATCCATTAGATTTAAAGCAGTGGTTGGTGATGGGTCATCCATTAGATTTAAAGCAGTGGTTGGTGATGGGTCATCCATTAGATTTAAAGCAGTGGTTGGTGATGGGTCATCCATTAGATTTAAAGCAGTGGTTGGTGATGGGTCATCCATTAGATTTAAAGCAGTGGTTGGTGATGGGTCATCCATTAGATTTAAAGCAGTGGTTGGTGATGGGTCATCCATTAGATTTAAAGCAGTGGTTGGTGATGGGTCATCCATTAGATTTAAAGCAGTGGTTGGTGATGGGTCATCCATTAGATTTAAAGCAGTGGTTGGTGATGGGTCATCCATTAGATTTAAAGCAGTGGTTGGTGATGGGTCATCCATTAGATTTAAAGCAGTGGTTGGTGATGGGTCATCCATTAGATTTAAAGCAGTGGTTGGTGATGGGTCATCCATTAGATTTAAAGCAGTGGTTGGTGATGGGTCATCCATTAGATTTAAAGCAGTGGTTGGTGATGGGTCATCCATTAGATTTAAAGCAGTGGTTGGTGATGGGTCATCCATTAGATTTAAAGCAGTGGTTGGTGATGGGTCATCCATTAGATTTAAAGCAGTGGTTGGTGATGGGTCATCCATTAGATTTAAAGCAGTGGTTGGTGATGGGTCATCCATTAGATTTAAAGCAGTGGTTGGTGATGGGTCATCCATTAGATTTAAAGCAGTGGTTGGTGATGGGTCATCCATTAGATTTAAAGCAGTGGTTGGTGATGTGTCATCCATTAGATTTAAAGCAGTGGTTGGTGATGGGTCATCCATTAGATTTAAAGCAGTGGTTGGTGATGGGTCATCCATTAGATTTAAAGCAGTGGTTGGTGATGGGTCATCCATTATTGTAGCTGCCCATGGTTTTTAATTGTGTTATCTTTTTAATTGAAGCTAGAAATAGAAAACAATTTTAAATAATTACATTTGAAGGTATAACTAAAAGTTGATACAAACAGAAATAATATTCATGGATATTGATTCTATTTAAACATGTTGTTTAAATTAAAATCAAAAACAAGTTTAAAAAATTTGGTATGATCAAAACTTACCTAACATGACCCATTCTTGTCCATTACCAAGCCAAGAACCCACTACATATCCAAGAGCTCACTTCAGACACAGATATCTGTAAACATGTAGAATTCAATTCCCTTCAATGAATAACTGGCAGAAGACAAAAAGAAAGGATATACTTTAATATGTTAATTGAAAATAATTTCTGTAATTGAAAAATTGTTAAAATGTTTGGTAAGGCTAATTGGCAGTTAGCGTGGTGTTCTACCTACCAAATAATAATCAGAAATGATGTTTTAATTGTGTCCCAATAATTTGTGATAGACAATGGTTCCCATTAAGTTGAGTTAATGATTTACCCAAATAGATACCGTAATTAATTTTTATTTTAATTTTTAATTTGAAAAAAAAAAGAATTTTTG